ACCTTACTTAAAACAACCGTGAACCTCCAAGTGTCACTTCAAGGACAGATGAGAAGCTTCTCAACTTTCAAGACCGTAAACACTGCAAGCGTAGACCATATTCACTGATAGCGCTGAACCAAATGCGACGATGAGTGCACCAATTCAGGCCTGAACCCCGACATCGGCTTTAATCTTCTGGTTCCAAGACGTTCAGAAGGCAGAGGGATCCTCCGAGCGATGCAGAAACTCCCAAGCCAAGTCCGTCAAGCTTAGACTCAACATTGACCTTTACAATCCTTTGCAGGGCCAAGCAACTTCCCAAGCCGCTCTGCCCTTCCCCACCCACTGCCAACCCCCTGAAGTCCAGCATTTCTTGGGGCTGCAACCCTGAACTACCACAACCCTCAGCCCTTGACTTACCTTTGGTTAGTAGGGAATGGGAGGAATGGGGTACCACTATAACTACTATTACTACCATTCTTCCATTCCCTACTGACCAAAGGTAAGTTGAAGGTTTGCACCATCTAAACCCTTTTTACATCAGACTTGCATGTCGCGCCTGGTTATGCCGCAAGCAGACCCTGAAAGACCACCCTAAACCCTAAACTACCACAACCCTCAGCCCTTGAAGGTTTGGACCGTCTTGTCACGCGGAGGGGCTGCAACACCAAGCTGCCCGTGCCGGCCGCATCGAGCTCTCCCAGCACTTCCTGCAAAGAGAGGCTGGAATTTGAATTATGTTCATTCACCCTAAATCTACATACATTACATACATTACATACATTACATACATTACATACATTACATACATTACATACATACATACATACATACATACATAATTACCTACATACAGATACATACAGATACATTCATGTATTCGTATGCAAGTACATACGTACGCCTGTACGTACGCATCTTAGAAGAGAAGCCCTGCCGCTTAGAGAACACAGGCCCGCCTCGGCCAACAGGATGCGTCCATCCAAGAGCAGCACGCGCTTGGCAAGGCGCCTCGCGACCCGTGCATGGAGGTTCATGGTTCGTATTGGGCAGGTTTACAAACAGGACAACTCTAGCTACATATATATATATATATATATTTAGACAGATAGATATATGTATATATACATATATATATATATATATATATTTCTGTATTAACCCATAGTAAGGGACTTCTAACCTCACTTATAACTACCCATGAACCTCCAAGTGGGTGGCCAACACAAAGCAAATCAAGGTGCACACTCTTCGGGGACTTAGGCATTTATGAAGCGAAGTGGAGTGCTACAGGGAGTGCTTTCGACCCAAGAGTTCTGGAGTTGTCCAGGTCTTTCGGGCTTAACAGCCAATAGGACGAGACAATCCTTAAACCATAGACCACCCCCTAAAATCCCAAAAGCCTCAACCTCCGAAACCCAAAACTCCTATATAAACCTTTTTCAGCGTTGGCTTTGGGTGTATGTCGAACCCGAAACCAATAAGGAGGTGACCAAATAGACCAATGAATAATAACAACTCTTTGTAAAACACCTAAAAGCTTACACCAAAACGCCAACAGCCCTAAACCCGTAGACCCTCAGTTGGCAGCGCCCCGCCTCCCTGGCATTTCCTCGACTTTAGGCAAAGCTTCCAAGACCTCTGCGGCATTGGACACTGACTGACAAGCTTAGTGGCGAAGTGGCACTAGTAAAAGCACCAGTACTAGCACTAGGACTAGGATTAGTACGAGTGCCAGTACTAGTACTAGTCGTCGTCGTAGTCGTCGTGGTGGTAGTGGTGATGGTGGTAGCACTTTTGTCAGCCATGTGGCACACCAATGACAGCTCCGCGGGGACGGTGGTAGCAGAAGTAATAGTAGCAGCAGTAGTAGCAGCAGCAGTAGTAGCGGTCGTCGTCGCAGCAGCAGTAATAGTAGTAGTCGTAGTAATGGCAGTGGCATTGGCAGTGGCAGTGGCAGCGGAGTGGTAGTGGTAGTGGTAGCGGTACTGGTAGCAGTAGTGATAGCGGCAGCGGCAGCGGTAGCGGTAGCGCCAGTAGAATGCCGCTCGAGTTGTAGTGGCAGCGGGCAGAGATAGAGCCGTGCCGGCAGTGCCGCTACTGCTGATCCTCATTGCGGTGCTGGCACGTGAAACAATATGTGGTGTGCATGTTGAATGACACGTACGCTCCCTTGTTGCGACCTTTGCTGTTGCCCCGTCCTTCTTGCACGTGCCAGCTTGTGCGTTTATGCTCCATCTTCGAGCCTTCAGTATTCTGGTCAGACGGCTCCAGGGGATGAGTGGAGGATGAGCAACAATCGGTGCATCCCCCCGGAGCCATTGAACGTGAGACTCGCCTTAAGCAAAATTTTTAGTTTTAGCTGTTTCTTGGGGAGTATAATAACAGAAAATTTAAAAATATTTCTAAGTACCCCTAAGTTAAGTCTGAAACTCCGACGACGGCCCCAAACATCCCGAAACCTGTGCTCTGAAAGGATCCGACCCGGAGATCCAAAACATAGAGCCAGGAGACATGAAAATTTCCGACAATCGGGGACCCTTTAAAGGGTGCCTTAAAGGGATCTATAAGGGTTCCATAAGGGGTTGAGGGTTTGGGGTTTCCGAAAATAGGGGACCCTAATATGGTACCCTAAATAAATAGTAGGATCCTTATTGTAAGGACCCCGGAAACTCCCATCTACCCCAATCTACCCGTGAATCGTGAGCCCGGGTGACATCCCGAACGCTGCAGTTTGAAGCGCCCAAACCCTCCTCTAAATCGGCAAAAGCAAACCCATTGAAACTAGACATCTGCATCCGCACTTCCACACAGAAGGATACGAACGTCAAACAACTCAAGTCCCCACAACTCTAAACCCTAAACCTCTAAACCCTAAACCTCTAAACCTCTACTAAACCCTAAACCCTAAACCATAGACCCCTAAACCCCTAAACCCCTAAACCGTGGACTCTTCAGACGCAGCCGGTGGTCCGAAGCCACGCGGTCACAGCGAGGCATTCGCCTCTCAGCGCAAACCTCTCGGGACTGAGGCTCCGGGCACTTGAACCCAGAGAGCCCATGGGATGAGGCGTGTTACAGCCTAGCGTGGGGGGGGGGGGGGGGGGGGGGGGGGGGGGGGTTCAGGGCCTCCAACCCTCTACCCAGAGAGCCCAATACCCCTTAATTAGGGAATGTACCTTAAACTATAAGGGGATTCATATTATGATTTAAGCTAGATTCCTTAATTAAGGGGTATTGGGCTCTCTGGGAATCGCGTGGTGGCGGGCTTCAAGGGATTAGGGCTTTAGGGCTTCAGGGTTTTTGGGCTTCAAGGGATTAGGGCTTAGGGCTTTAGGGGTTTAGGGTTTTAGGGCTTTAGGGTTTTCAAGGCTTTAGGGCTTTAGGGTTTTAGGGTTTTAGCGTTTTCAGGTTTTTAGGGTTTTAGGGTTTAGGCTTGACATGGCAAGTCCGGTCGTTGGAGACATGACTGTGCCACTACGTTAGGCAGAGAGGAAGGAGCCAAGTAAGCTCAAGAAACTTTAGAGCTCAGGGCTCTGGGATTTAAAGCAATTTCAGCTCAAGGTTCAGCCTCTTTGGCTTCTTAGTTTGCCGGCTCGGGGCTTAGCTTAACCCCAAATAACCTACCTTTTTCAGGACTTGTGCCAGGAAACCAGATTAAGGGACCCTTCAAAAAGGGTAGGTTTTTGAGGGTTCAGGTAGGTTTCGAAGGCTAAGGTCTCCGGGCCGGCCTCCCCGGACAGCAGCTGCACGTGCACCGTGCAGAGCTCCATGGCGTGAGCGCGCAAGGCGGAGAAGAGAAGCGAATTGTGGCTTCGGGTTTAGGGATGTTTCGGGTTTAAGTGTTTAGGGTTCGGGTTTAGGGATGTTTAGGGTTTAAGTGTTTAGGTTCGGGTGTTGAGATGCTGAGGGCTGAAGGTCAAGGGCTCAAGTTTTGGTGTCTAAGGTTTGAGGTTTAAGGTTCAAGGCTTGGGCTTAAGGATTTAGAGTCTAGGGTTCGGGGTTGAGGTGTGAGGGCTCTGACTCTGAGTAAGAACAAAGACTAGCGAAATGAGACGCTAAACATCAAAGCATGAACAGCAGCAGCAACACTGGAGATTCGGGAAGTTGACCCCAGCCCCGAACCCCCTGACTAAACCATATGCCCCCGACCGTCAACACCAAAGCCTAACCAAACAATCATTCCTAAACCTTAACTAACAATACCGAACCCGAAACCCGAAACGCTAACTAAGCCTTGAACAGCACGCCCTATACTGTAAACGTTAAACCACGCTGCAAACCTGCATGGGGCTCACGGCAACGGATTCGACGTTGAGACGAGAGGTCAGCACGTCGTGTTTGAGGCCTAGCACTGGACCTTCGAGTCCGTGGGTTTAGGAGAATTGTTTGGGGCATAGCTGCTTGCAGTCGTGCCATGTAAGTCAGATTGGAACCCAGGCAAGAAAGTACCGAGAGCAACACAAAGACTGACCTAATCCCAAACTATCAAACCTAAGCCGAAGGCCCTTTTTTGCCACTGGACTCAAGTCTAGCCAGTTTAAGACCCCAATCATCTTGACCAAGGCCGACATGCAGCAGCATCGATATCCCCAGCTTCAGAGGAGACGAAGGCCCTGAACTCTGAACCCTACACTCCTACACCTCTGTCCCGCAGCCCCGACCCTCCACGGTCGTCCGAGGAATGGGATATATTGCCCTCACTCAAAAAAAAAACGAAACTCTGAATCCTAAGCCCGAATCCCAACACCCCAAACTGACCTGAATCCTCTACCCCAAACCGAAAAGCCGTGGTGCGCTATCCAACCCTGAAAACCTGACAAAACCCTCTGGAAAATGCCAAACCCCCAATACCCAACCTGAGAAACCCAAGACCCCTAAGAAACACGTATATGACAGGTCGGTGTGTGTGGCTGCGAGAAAAATACATATGAAAAAAAAAAAAATATATATATATATATATATATATCGTACATACGCATGTGTATATATCCGACAACAACAACTCGGGACCCGGCCGGGTCGCCATCACAGAAGACCGCCGGCGCAAAGCCACCTCGCCGAGCTCGGACCTGATCATGTAGGGGCCCTAAGACCTGAGGTTTAGGGCTTAGAGCTACCCAGAGAGCCCAATACCCCTTAATTAAGGAATATACTTTAAACTATAAGGGGATTCATATTATGATTTAAGCTATATTCCTTAATTAAAGGGTATTGGGCTCTCTGGGTACTTTAGGGTGCATACGTGGCCCCGTGAAGGTTTGGGGCTCCAAGATTCAAGGTTGAAGTGTATAGCTTCAGGGGCTTGTGGCGCGGTTTTGGGATTTGAGTTGTCAGGTTATGGCTGCGTGGGTTGGGCTACGGTAGGGGGGTTTAAGGATAAAGACTTTGTGAAGTTTGGAGTGTTGAGGTTCAGGGCTGCAAGCCCAGGGTCCATGTAGGAACATGATTGAGAACCCTGCTCCTATAACCCTATCATATTAAGATCCATACAAAGAGCTTTTAAAAGGACCCAGGGTTCCTTAGCCTTAATCAGACTCCTACAGGGGCAGCTCTCTACACGAGGATCCCTTTGTAGCTCCCCAGAATAGTACGACACCCTCATAAAAAGGACCCTAAAAGGGACCCTAATCGACACAACTACCCGTGTTGGGGTTCAGATGGTTCAGGGACCCAGAGAGCCCAATACCCCTTAATTACGGAATATAGCTAAAATCATAATATGTACCCCCCTTATAGCTTAAGGTACATTCCTTAGTTAAGGGGTATTGGGCTCTCCGGATAGCCGTGGCTCAAAGCTGCTTCGGGGAATTTCACGCAAGCGGGCGGCAGAAAGCGTCCGGTTTGCGAAGCTGAGCCCAGCGAGCTCCTTCTGCAGCGCCCCAAGCTTTCGGGTTGGTCTGGGGTTTGGGGTGAAGAGTTTAGGGTTTAGGGGGGTGAAGAGTTTAGGGTTTAAGGGGTGAAGAGTTCAGGGTTTGGGGGTGAAGGGTTTGGGGTTTCGGGGTGAAGAGTTTCGGGCTTGGGGTGAAGAGTTCAGGGTTTCGGGCTGGGGGCTTGTGCCCACCTACCCAGCAAGGACGAAAAGTTTAGGGTTTAGGGCTCAGGCTTTTTCTCCCTCCTGCTTAGGAAGGACGAGCCCCATTGCAGGGTAACTCCGAAGGCCAGTAGACTAATGCTGCTTGGTATAGAAACCTGGCTTATGACAGACATCGCCATCAAGGCAGGGCGGTTGCAGTTTAGTTTTGGGCTCTTTGATTCCCACAGCCCTAGGCCTAGTCGACGCCACCCTAAGCTCTGAAAAACACAACCCACAACCCGGAACCCCAAAGCCAAAGCCCGCAGGACCAGCCTTGGAAACTCAGAGCACGCAATGCCTTCTTTAGCACGGACTAAACCTAACATCATTTCTACGAAATACGGCTTAAACATCTCGACAACCGAGAACCTTCATCAACCTTCTTCAAGCCCTTTTTTCCTGCCCTCCCTTTAGGGCGTGGGGCTCGCCAGCACGAGTGTGTGTCATTCGGGGCTCCTCGTACTCCGCGAGAGGCCTGCGACTGCCGAGACCTCCTCCTCCGGTCGGGGGTTAGGTTTAAGGTTGGGGGGCCCAGTTTAGGGTTTATGCTCTCGCAAGACGAGGTCTCTTGGTACGCATTCGCACTACCACTGCAGTTCCGGGTTTAGGGTTCTTGAGGTGGCGGCGATGTTCGTGTCAGCAACTAAGGCACGGTAACAGCAGTAGTCGTAGTTGCTTCAGTCGAGAAGTTCTGACCGTTTTCTGGTCAGCCCTTTACCGCGAAAAGCCAACGTACAGACTCTGCCTGTCCTGGCACGTCCGCATCCCCACGAAGCAGCTGCCGCACACGTTGCTGGGACTCCATCTCGCGTCGCCTCTGTTCCTTTCAGGGGGTGGTCTTTGTAGTTTCGCTCGCAGTTATCTTTTCAAATCCTTCGGACCCAAGGAACCAGCACCGCACCCGCACGGAACGAAGGCAAAGATTCAGGTATCTGTCCGAAAGCCGCCGGCGGAGCGGTTTTTTTTTTTCCTAGGTCTGGCCCTCCCCGGCTTGCTTTCCTAAGTCTGGCCCACTGGTTGTGGTTGTCAACAGCGGCAACTGCAGTCTTTGCTTCTATTTTGCATCAAGCTATTGGGGAACTAGAATTTGACGGCTCTGGTTTTGCTTCTGTTTTGCATGAAGCTATTGGGGAACTACAACTTGCGGAGTCTGATTTTGCTGGTGTTTAGCATCAAGCTGTTGGGGAACCACAAGTTGCAGGGTTCGGTTTTCTTTGTGTTTTGCATGAAGCTATTGGGGAGTTCGCATTTGCAGGGATCGGTGTTGCTTGTGTTTTGCATAAAGCTATTGGGGAACTACAATTCGCAGGGTCTTCTTCTGCTTGTGTTCTGCTTCAAGCTATTAGGGAACTACAATTTGCGGTGTGTTCTTCTGCTTGTGTTTTGCATGAAGCTATTAGGGAACTAATGGGGAACTAGCATTCGCAGGGTCTGGTTTTGCTTGTGTCTTGCATGAAGCTATTGGAGCACTACAATTTGCAGGGTCGTGTCTCGCATGTGAATATTGCGGGATTACAATTTCAAATCTTCTGTCTTGTGTCGTTGTTTTTTGGTGTCGTTGGCGACATCCTCGTCATCGTCGTCGTCGTCCTCGTCCTCGTCGTTGCCGTCGTGGTAGTTGTTCTTGTTGTTGTTGTTGCTGTTGCTGGTGTTCTTGTTGTTATTGGGGTGACGGATCAAAAAAAATAAATTTGGATCAAAAAAATTAAAGCACTGAGATCAAATAAATTAAAAATTGGATCAAAAAAAACTCAACAAATTAAGAACAGTATCAAAAAGGTTAAATCAGTACTTCGCTTTTGCCCCCCTAAAGCGATGTCATGTGTCTCGACAAGTTACGAAAGCGGGCAGTTCATGTGGCTCCTCCCTCTCTTCGTTTTCCAGAGAGACTCACGTTGTCGTTTTACCTTTGTTTTCTTGTTCTTGCTCTTGGCTTCCCAAAGCGAATACATCTGGCTTGAGCCCTTTTGCCTGTCGGTGAAGACGTTTCATTCATAAGAAATCTTCTATTCTTCGTATTAAACCCCTGAAGCGTTTTCATGTGGCTTTGTCCTTGTTGTGCGTTTAGAAAAAACGTCTTTATTTCATTTCATCGACAGCTTAAGAAACCGGGCAGTTTGCAGTTAAAAACCCGGGGGGTTGTGGGGGGGGGGGCTGCCTTTGCAGTTAAAAAACGGGGGGGTTGGGGGGCGCAGTCCCCCACATTTGCAAACCTTCCAACATGAGTTTTGCTTTGCTCGCTTTTACCCCCGTAAAGCGATTTCATGTGGCTGGACAACTTAAGAAAGCGGGCAGTTTGCAGTCAAAAAAGCGGGGGGGTTGGGGGGGGCGCAGCCACCCCCATTTGCAAACCTTTCAACATGAGCTGTGCTTTGCTCGTTTTTACCCCCCTAAAGCGATTTCATGTGGCTCTCCCTCTCTCCGTTATACAAAGAGATGCACGTTTTCGTTTTACTTTGTGTTCGTGGTCTTGCCCTCCCAAAGCGAGCACGTCTGGCTTTCGCCCTTTTGCCTGTCGGTGAAGACGTTTCATTCGTGAGAAGAAAACGGGGGGGTTGCGCGGGGGCGGCGCAGACCCCCCCATTTGCAAACCTTCCAACATGAACTTTGTTTTGCTCGGTTTGCCCCCCCTAAAGCGATTTCATGTGGCTCGACAACTCAAGAAAGCGGGCAGTTTGCAGTTAAAAAAGCGGGGGGGTTGGGGGGGGGCAGCCCCCCCCAATTTGCAAACCTTCCAACATGAGCTTTGCTTTGCTCGCTTTTGCCCCCCTAAAGCGATGTCATGTGTCTCGACAAGTTACGAAAGCGGGCAGTTCATGTGGCTTCTCCCTCTCTTCGTTTTCCAGAGAGACTCACGTTGTCGTTTTACCTTTGTTTTCTTGTTTCTTGCTCTTGGCTTCCAATAGCGAATACATCTGGCTTGAGCCCTTTTGCCTGTCGGTGAAGACGTTTCATTCATAAGAAATTTTCTATTCTTCGTATTAAACCCCTGAAGCGTTTTCATGTGGCTTTGTCCTTGTTGTGCGTTTAGGAAAAACGTCTTTATTTCATTTCATCGACAGCTTAAGAAACCGGGCAGTTTGCAGTTAAAAACGGGGGGGTTGTGGGGGGGGCTGCCTTTGCAGTTAAAAAACGGGGGGGTTGGGGGGCGCAGTCCCCCACATTTGCAAACCTTCCAACATGAGTTTTGCTTTGCTCGCTTTTACCCCCGTAAAGCGATTTCATGTGGCTGGACAACTTAAGAAAGCGGGCAGTTTGCAGTCAAAAAAGCGGGGGGGTTAGGGGGGGCGCAGCCCCCCCCATTTGCAAACCTTTGAACATGAGCTGTGCTTTGCTCGTTTTTACCCCCCTAAAGCGATTTCATGTGGCTCTCCCTCTCTCCGTTATCCAAAGACATGCACGTTTTCGTTTTACTTTGTGTTCTTGGTCTTGCCCTCCCAAAGCGAGCACGTCTGGCTTTCGCCCTTTTGCCTGTCGGTGAAGACGTTTCATTCGTGAGAAGAAAACGGGGGGGTTGCGCGGGGGCGGCGCAGACCCCCCCATTTGCAAACCTTCCAACATGAACTTTGTTTTGCTCGGTTTGCCCCCCCTAAAGCGATTTCATGTGGCTCGACAACTCAAGAAAGCGGGCAGTTTGCAGTTAAAAAAGCGGGGGGGTTGGGGGGGGGCAGCCCCCCCCAATTTGCAAACCTTCCAACATGAGCTTTGCTTTGCTCGCTTTTGCCCCCCTAAAGCGATGTCATGTGTCTCGACAAGTTAAGAAAGCGAGCAGTTCATGTGGCTTCTCCCTCTCTTCGTTTCCAGAGAGACTCACGTTGTCGTTTTACCTTTGTTTTCTTGTTTCTTGCTCTTGGCTTCCCAAAGCGAATACATCTGGCTTGAGCCCTTTTGCCTGTCGGTGAAGACGTTTCATTCATGAGAAATCTTCTATTCTTCGTATTTTAAAACCCCTGAAGCGTTTTCATGTGGCTTTGTCCTTGTTGTGCGTTTAGAAAAAGCATCTTTAATTCATTTCATCGACAGCTTAAGAAACCGGTCAGTTTGCAGTTAAAAACGGGGGGGTTGGGGGGCGCAGTCCCCCACATTTGCAAACCTTCCAACATGAGTTTTGCTTTGCTCGCTTTTACCCCCGTAAAGCGATTTCATGTGGCTGGACAACTTAAGAAAGCGGGCAGTTTGCAGTCAAAAAAGCGGGTGGGTTAGGGGGGGGCGCAACCCCCCCCATTTGCAAACCTTTCAACATGAGCTTTGCTTTGCTCGCTTTTACCCCCCCGAAGCAGTTTCATGTGGCTCTCCCTCTCTCCGTTATCCAAAGAGATGCACGCTTTCGTTTTACTTTGTTTTCTTGGTCTCCCCTCCCAAAGCGAGCACGTCTGGCTTTCGCCCGTTTGCCTGTCGGTGAAGACGTTTCATTTGTGAGAAAGTTGACCTGCTTTGCTTTTTTATCCGCCTGAAGCGTTTTCGTTGGGGGGGGGGGGCGAAGCCCCCCATTTGCAAACCTTCCAACATGAGCTTTGCTTTGCTCGCCTTTACCCCTTTACCCCCCTAAAGCGATTTCATGTGGCGCCTCCCTCTCTTCGTTAGCCGAAGAGACGTATGTTTTCGTTTTACTTTGTTTTCTTGTTCTTGTCTTCCCAAAGCGAGTACGTCTGGCTTTCGTCCTTTTGCCTGTCGGTGAAGACGTTTCATTCATGAGAAACTTCATCTTCTTCACTTTCTAAACCACCCGGAAAGCGCGCAGTTTGCAGTTAAAAGAGGGGGGTTGGGGGGGGCGCAGCCCCCCGCATTTGCAAACCTTCCAACATAAACTTTGTTTTGCTCGCTTTTACCACCCTTAAAGCGATTTCATGTGGCTCCTCCCTTTTTTCGTTATCCAAAGGAGACGCGCGTTTTCGTCTTACTTTGTTTTCTCGTGTTCTTGTTCTTGCCTTCCCAAAACGAGTACGTCTGGCTTTCGCCCTTTTGCCTGTCGGTGAAGACGTTTCATTCACGAGAAACTTTATCTTCGTCGCTATTTAAACCCCCTGAAGCGTTTTCATGTGGCTTTGTCCTTGTTGTGCGTTTAGAAAAAGCGTCTTTAATTCATTTCATCGACAGCTTAAGAAAGCGGGCAGTTTGCAGTTAAAAAAAAACACGGGGGTTGGGGCGGGCCTTTCCTTCCATTTCCTTTCATTCCCTCTTGCTTTTCTTTTTCTTTCTTCGCTGCTTCCTTGCTTTTTTCCTTCCGTCCTTCCTTCCTGCTTTTCTCTTTCCTGCCTTCTCTCCTTCCTTCCTTCTTTCCTCCTTCCCTGCTTCCCTCCTTCCTTCCTTCCTTCCTTCCTTCCTTTCTTCCTTCCTTCCTTCCTTCCTGTCGTGGTTTCGGCTAGGTTAATTTTTTTTATCCAAATTTAATTTTTTGATTTAAATTTAATTATTTGTTGATGCCTATCCCCTTGTTGTTGTTGTTGTTGTTGTTGTTGTGGTTGTCGTGGTGGTCGTGGTTGTGGTTGTGGCTGTGGCTGTGGCTGTTGTTGTTGTTGTTGTTGTTGTTGTTGTTGTTGTTGTTGTTGTTGGTTTTGTTGCTGTTGTTGTTGTTGTTGTTGTTGTTGTTGTTGTTGTTGTTGTTGTTGTTGTTGTTGGTGGTGGTGTTGTTGTTGTTGGTGTTTGTTGTGTGTTGCTTGTTGCTTGTTGCTAGTTGTGTTAGTTGTTTAGTTGTTAATTGTTAGTTGCTAGTTGCTAGTTGTTAAGTGTTAGTTGTTCGTTGCTAGTTGTTAGTTGGTGGTGTTAGCTGTTAGTTGTCAGTTGTTGGTTGTTATTTGTGAGTTGTTAGTTGTTTCTTGTTAATTGTTAGTTGTTTCCTGCTTATTGTTCCTTGTTTCTTGTTTGTTGTTTCTTGTTTGTTGTTTGTTATTTCTTGTTTCTTGTTTGTTGTTAGTTGTTTGTTGTTAGTTGTGTTAGTTATTTAGTTGTTTGTTGCTAGTTGTTTGTTACAGACAGACAGACGGACAGACAGACATGGATACTGCGGCTTCCATCCTACGTATTTGGTTCCTTGGACCCTTCCGTCTAGATGGGCTGGCTGCTTCACAAACCTGCAGGAAAGTTTCGAACGTGGTACTGTTGGCTACTAGAGATCGTAAATGGAAGTCATCAAGGCTACGCGTTCTTGCAGGTTTGAGGGTTTAGGGGTACAGGACCAGGAGAGACCAGGGAACCAGGGGACCAGGGACCAGGGGACCGGAGGACCAAAGGACCAGGGGACCAGGACCAGAGGACCAAAGGACCAGGGGACCAAGGGACCATGGGACCAGACCTAACAAGGCCCCCCAGACCGGGCCAGACCTAGGAAAAAAAAAACAGTGGACCCGAAAGCCGCCACCGGAAAACAAAATGAACCAAGAGGAACGACAACCCTTGCTCCTGAACTGGACTCGTGTTACACATATGTTTGCAACAGGGCCGACATTTTCAGGGATCAAGGTACTTGTCGATTCGATGTTCATCTCACATAACATGTCTGCAAAGAGCCGAACATGAAATGCAAAGCCCCTTTCGAAGTTCGAGTCCACCATCCCCATCCACGGAACCCTGAGCCCCAAAAGGGAGTTTCCAAAAACAGGGGACCCTGATATAGCACCCTAAAGAGTAGGATCCTTATTATAAGGACCCCAACATAAGGTACCCCGAATTTCCGGAAACTCCCCATGTCTACCGTACGATACGATACATTCTGCACTGCACTAGTCTACCCAAAGAGCCCAAGACCCCTTAATGAAGGAATATAGCTTCAATCATCATATGCATACCCTTATAATTTAAGGTCTATTCCGTAATTAAAGGGGTGTTGGGCAAGAGGGTTGTTTAGGCCCTGAAACCCCCCCCCCCCCACGCAAGGCTTGAAACAAGCCGGTCCAAAACCTCTCAGGATCGATCAGCCCTCGACATATTGCTATGTGGGAGATTTTGAAAATGAGGGGGTTTCCGAAAATTAGAGCGTACCTTTAAAGGGATCCTTTAAGGGTTCCTTAAAGGGATCTATAAGGGTTCTATAAAGGGTTTAGGGTTTGGGAGTTTCCGACAATTGGGGGGTAGCTTATTTTGGGGTCCTCATAAGAAGGATCCTGCTATCTAGGGTACCATATTGGGGTCCCCTATTTTTGGAGACTCCCACCTAGACCCGAAACGCCCCTCACGTGAACCCTGACAGGTAACCCCTCAAAACAAGCCCTCAACACAAACAAGAAGATTCAGAGATTCACTGTGGGATTGTTCTGGGGCTACACGACGTACAGTGAACCCCGGAAAGTTGGAACATGGGTTTAGAATGATTGGTGAGAGGATTCCCTCTACTGGGCATGAGGATAATAACGTTCCAATTTTCTGGCTTCTACTTAACACTTCGGTGCTTTATGGATGTTTCTCGATTACAGCAGAAATCCGCAGACCTCAAAATCGCAAAACGTCTCTCGGAGCTGAAGCCTCGCTTCCGTGCTCGCGGAAGACGGGGCGATGCTTGCGTGTCCAGAGGTGGTATCCGATCACCTCACGGCTCTGGTTGGGTTTAGGGCTTGGGGTTTAGGGTTTCGACACTCACACTCGAGCGTTTGGGGTTTCGGCGCTCACCCTCGAGGGTTTGGGGTTTTCTGGGCTGTGTGCTGTCGGATTTTGTGATTGCGGGGTCTTGATGCTTTCTGGATGTCTGGAACTTGGGCTTGGGCCTTGGGTATCAGCTTTTGTAATCCCCCCATGCGCGGCTGCAGGGAGAGCACTCTGTTTACGGGTTGAGGGTTCAGGGCTCAGTATTCGGGTTGAAGTTTAGGATGATTCGCACCCGAGGATTAAAGGATCAAAGAACAAGGGTACACGCCTTGGGGTGCACATTGGAGCTAGGGGCTTACATGTGTCTTCAAACTTCATCTTGGCTCCGTTTGGCAGGTGACCAGTCTCACGAGCTACGGAAAAAGGCCAGAAAACGCTCCGCACGCGGTTGGGGTGACAAGCATCTTTGCAATCTTATGCAATACCATCTGGATTCACATCAGGAAGACAAGTCATGCTGTGGTCTTTGATACATTTTAGATTCAGATGTTGATAGCCTGGAGGTGGTCCAGCGTCTATGAAGAAGGGAACTCTCTGCCTCGCGTCCCTTCCGAATCCTGGACCTAAATCCCGAACAAAGAAAGCCGCAAGAGCGTAGTATACTACAGAAGCCTGAATAGTTGCCAATACCATTCCTTAAGGTTCCGGTTTTAATTCTAGTTACTAGAATCTAGTACCACATACCCCAAGACCCTGTTGTAATTAATGAAGCTCTATCTTGCAAGACTCGGCAGAGCAGTTCATGGTAAATCTGCACCTGACCTATCGTATGCACACTTATCAATCATCCCCGTCCCTGCAACCGAAACCTCCAAAAACGAAAGAAGTCGAAATCCTTCATGCGGCCTTTGTGGGCGCGAAGAAATCCTCGGATCATTCGCGGAGGGCGTCGATTCAAGGCTTCCTAGAGACTCCAATATCCCTTAATTAAGGAATGTACCTTAAATTATAGTAGAACCCCTAATATGATTTAAGGTATATTCCTTAATTAAGGGATATTGGCATTGGAGTTTCTGGCTTACAGTGCATTTAGCATTGGGCATGCGGCGTTGGGGTTCAGGGGAAGAGGGCAGCATGTCCTGGGCTTAGGGCTTGGGATAAAATACTCGGTACCGAGCCTTGCTTACGGTGGTGGTCCCATAAATGCGGGTGGCCCTCGGACTTAATGCACAAACCCCAAACTCCAGTCCCCAAACCCTAAACTCTAAGCCCCAACCCTCAAAGGCCCTGCTTCACCCTGGGGTTTAGGGTTTAGGGGTTTAGGGTTTAGGGCCTACCCTGACGTCCAGCTGCAAATCCGCTCGTCCAGAGCCGCGTGGCCATGCTGGGCTCCTGCGCTGTTGCAAGCCCAGAGAGCCCAGTACCCCTTAACTAAGGAATACAGCTTAAATCATAGTATGAATCCACTTATACTTTAAGGTATATTCCTTAATTAGGGCATATAGCTTAAATCATAATATGGATCCCCTTGTACTTTAAGGTATATTCCTTAATAAAAGGGTATTGGGCTCTCTGGGAGGGACCCAAACTGTCGCATTGGGGGTTGCTGAAAGCCCGAAGCCTATACCAGTCACTAGGTGGGGCTTTTAAAGCCTTCGAAACATATTAGGTAAATAAGATCCTTTTAAGCCCAATACGGGAAAATATAACATGTCCCAAAGCCCTACCTATGTCAGGCAACCAGGTTGGTGCAATATGATGTATGTCAGCCTGTTTTCTCGCTTTACCAGCTATAGCTGTTTACTCTCACTGCATGGTCTATGGTTGGGGCTCAGGCCCTGAGAGGTTTGCTAGGATTAAGTTCGGGGGTAGGTTGCCGTCGGCTACCTTGCTTTTCAAGTGCCCTATTCAACATGCCTGAACCCTGACCCTAGCTCTCTGCCCGACCTCTCCGAAGAAGAGGTCTTCCAGCTCCACATCCTTAGCTTCTGGGCTTCAGGGTCTGCAGCCACACCCCGCCAGAAAGAAGGACGCACAACAGAGTCCAACCGAGCCGAAGCATCCCGGCAACCCCTAAAACAGGTCCTTCCTATGGAACCTGGGACGCGCACTGCAAGTCCCGAAAACCTCCGAGCACCCCAGTTCATCCCAAACCCAAAACCTCGGCCCTGGATTCCCAGTCAAGCCCGTCAGCGCCGGAATCCCAGGTCCCTGGGACTGAACCCTTAATTTTTTCAGGCTTGCGACTTTCGGACGAAATCCTCAACCCTAAACCCTCAACCCTAAGCCCTCGACCCTCAACCCTAAGCCCTCGGCCTAGACCACCCCCTGAGCTCGCCACGTAGGGAACCTCACGGAGCATCGCAGCCGAGGAGAAGGAAAAGCCGGCTGCCCAGAAGATCCCTCTGGCAAGGACGAGGCCCGCATAGGGTACTTGGTTGAACAGAGGCAGGCTTAAGCATTGAAGCCCACGGGAGAAACTTGGTACACTTCTCGATTTGTGCGTGTCATCCTTGCACAGAGGCCATGCAAATCTTCTCTGTATCGTTCCAATTTTATCGGATGATCCCCGAAGGATTCGTTTCGGGTTTGGGGTTGAAGGGTTAGGGTTTAGGTTTCCGAGTTAAGGAAAGTTCCGACCTGCGGGTTTATGTGCTCGCTTTTCCTGCCTGCCACCTGCCCCCACCCTGTAACTATACTAGGGTCACAAAAGGGGCTATACACATGAAAAATTACAAGAATTATCCAACTGTTACAGAGTGGGGGCAGTACCCAATCAGTAGGCTTTATTCTTTAGGGTCTCGGGCTTAGTGTTCGTGATGGGTTGTTTTTATATGGTTCTTTATGGAGTCTTTGTTCAGGGGGTCTTGGCTACCCTGAACCCTAAGCCCCTAAACCGTTTACCCCTTTTGCATCCACGCCTATTGTGACTGCCGGGTGCCCCTGAGGAAAAGAAACTGGGGGCCAGGCAATTCTGCAGCACTACTGGCTGCAACACTCACCCAAACGCACAACACCTAAACCCTTTTGCACCAAACCGGACCCAGAATCCACAAAGCAAGAAGGCGCGAGAACTGGCCACTCGGCCGCTGCGGTTGCTGAGCTTCCGCGCCCGGCTGCGGCACGTCGAACGCGGAGGCTTTGCCTTGTCTTGGGGTTGAAGGTTCCTGTTTAAAGGGCCCCTTAAAGGGGCTCTATAAGGGATCCTTCGAGGGATCTGTAGGGGTTAAACATTTAACGTTTGGGGCTCCCGGTTTGGGGTTTATGGCTTACTTAGGGCTTGAGGTGTAGGCTTTAGAGCTTAGGGTTTAGGGCTTAGGGTTCTAGGTTGGGCAGTTTGCCTGCTGGTTCCGCCCTTGTTTGGGGCTCTGTGTGAGGGGTCGAGGGCCCTTAGCTTCATGTCTAGGTGGGGCTTTTAAAGCCTTCGAAAAGTACTAGTAAATAAGATCCTCTTAAGCCCGATAGGGGAAAACATAAAAGGTCACAAAGCCCTACCCAGATGTGGTGTAGGTATCGGGCTTCGGCCTCCCTGGGAGATTTGGGCCGATACTGGGTTCTTGATAAATAACCTTTCGGAAGGGTCCATGGTAAGGAAACCGTAGTGATGAAAAATGTACCCCCGGCTGTCATGACTTAACAAGAACCCTAACAAGGTCTTGCAGGGGAGGGGCCTGCAGTATGCGAAGGCACGGATCCGGGAGAAGAAAATTAGACCCTTCCCTACACGGCATAGTCAGCCTCAAGCGTAATGGAAAGCTTGGCGTAAAAAAGCGGCATGGACAGAATAGCCTTGGTTCCACAGAGTCGAGAAGGCATTAAATCCGAACCCCTCAAAGACAACAGCTTTTAAGCAAGAACGATGCTAGGCCGGAGTTCTCTAGGCCCACAGTTCATCACAGAACCCTAAACTATACCGTGAATTGTCAATGCCCGAAGCGCCGAACAAATGATCCTAAGCGCTGCAAGCTAGGCCCTTAACCTCAGATTTTTGTGTCCCTAAATGCCTGCACCCTCAACCCTACAACCTGAAACCCTAAAACGCTGATGCCTGCTTTTAAGAACTACCCCCTACCCACTGAACCCTGGATCCTAAACCCCCAACTTCTCAAACCATCCAGTTGCAGCTCTTCCCGGTGATCCGAAGAAAGCCGTCAGCGCCGAATCTGGGCCCAGGCCGTGCAGAAACCAAGCGTTTTGTTTGGGGTTTTGGTGCATGGGATAAAAAGCCGTCATACTCCTCCGGTATCTATACTGAACATTCAGAATCAGAACAGTAAGAATAATAATGACTTAGCTTTGGGGTGGGTTTGTCATTGTGGGGATAGGGGGTTTCGGTGTGGGGCTTAGTGAACCCTCAAGCTGAAATACCATAGAGCCCGAACCCTAAGTAACGCGAAGCCCTAACGAAGAAAGAAGAAGGACCGCTTTCCCGCACGCTCAGGCCCCAGACGCGTTCCGACGCATCTTGCTCTCTAGGAGGCTAGACAAGTGAAGCCCATAGTTTGCATCCTCGCGCAGGACACTAAGCCAGCAAATGCTCTGTAGAAGGCGAATAGCACACTCCCCAAACCCCTTCTGGAAACAATAAACTTCCATAAGCTTGTGAACTCCAACCCAGAACCGAAACCCAAAATCCCAAAACCCGCAACACCAAACCTGAAGCCCCAAACCAAGCCCCAGAGCAAGCCTAAACCCTAAACTAGCCCCCAGACCGGGAGTCTCCGAAAATAGGGGCCCCTAATATAGTACCCTAAGTAGTAGGATCCTGATTACAGGGACCCCAAACTATGGTACCCCTAATTTTCGGAAACTCCCAAATTTCACCCTGCGAATCTAGCCAGGCTGCCCCTTCGCACACAGGACAATGGGATCCTCTCAGATCGTCTGAAGCTGATGGTTTCGGAGCTCACACTCGAGCAATCCACGCGAAGATGATGGTTTAGGGCTTAAGGGCTTTAGGACTTTACGATTTTTGTGTTTAGGGCTTAGGGCAGTCTCCTTTCGGCTCCCTTTGTGGGCGGGTCTAGGAGTCTCGGATTCAGGGGGTTAGGCTTTTCGGGCCGCGGGTTCAGAAATCGGAGGGGGTTTCTATGATTTTGCTTAGGGCCTAGGGCTTCAGATTTTGCGAACTCAGCCCTGATCCCTTAAACCCTAAACACGGAGTCTTAAGGCTTGGGGCCTAAGGCTTGCAGGGTTTGGGGTTCAAGCTGTCTGCAGGGGTTGTAAGGTAAAGGAGATGTAATGGTTTTACACCTAGTACAAACCTACTGCAAAATGTCATATAGTATGCAATGCAGCGTTCCAGAATATGATGTACAGTAAGGCTGTACTGATAATTTAAGGTAATGTAATGCAACTGTCAAAACTAAATGTAATGGAACATAGCATAAAACATACAATACATACATTTGTGTGGACACATGTATACATATATACATTGGTTTATATATATGTAACTTATTCTATACAAAAAACAATACGCAACATGGAGCATGCAATGCAGAACATAGAATAGAGAGACTGTGCAGTCGAGACTGTCGAAAAGCAGTATTTAATACATGATGAATGTCCTAAGGTATAAAACATGTGATATATAGTGGGCATTACACGATGATGTATGGCATGCAGCATAAGATAGGTAAGTTTAAGTTATAAGATATATCACTATAATGATATACTAACAAACACTGAATATTGTGTAAGATACCCTATACACAACAAAAACATATATACTATCAAGACACTAAGACATTACATATAATGTATATAGTAACATGACATACAAAGCACCTCATGTAACATGGACATAACACTAATTACATGACAAACAAGATCCAATATAACCTAACATTATACCATTATACGAGTCTGTATTATATGAGGTCGCAACATGGCACAACATCTTATGATATACAAAGACTGATATAGGGGGCATCGACAACTACAATATGGCTTTAGGGCATGTTATAGCACACGCCTATAGCGACTTTTTGAGGTCAGGCATAGTGTTGCTAAATGATCCTCGTCGTTCAAGCCCCTCGTTGCAACCTTCCGGCCCGACCCCAGCCGCTATCGCGGCTTGGGCTGGTACGCCGAAACACCAAGCCCAAAAACCTGAAGCCTCAAGCCCTAAAACCCCAAACCTCAAGGCTCAGCCCTAAACCCGAAAAACCCCGTGGCGGAAATCTGGTCCTTCGCCGGATGCAGCTTTGCCCGGTCTTCTTCTCCCGGTTGGTAATCCTGCGGGTGGAGGGGGCTCCGGTTGCAAGGGTTTCGGTTTTAGGGATTTAAGGTTTAGGGCTTAGGCGTAGTTATGGCTTAGAGTGGGTTGAGGGTTCGCAATTTATGGTTTAGGGTCACAGATTGCAAGTTTACAAGGGTTCAAGAAAGGGCCCTATAAGGTGTCGCAGACAAAGGCTCTTGTAAGGGGCTAGGCACGGTGGGGACAGTGGGGCTTTGCAGGCTCCAAGGGCTTAGAGTGAGAGTTTCCTATACTGAACTTAGAACCCTAGCAAAAATTCTAATTCTAGCTGATTATAATAACCAAAAATTAAAAATATTTCTAAGTCTCCCTAAGTTTCAGGGTTCTGGGATCTCTGGAGCTTGAGGGTTTGGCGTTTTGGATGTTAGGCTTTAAATGGCTTTAAGCTTAAAGAAGGGCTCCAAATTAGGGTTCCCTGCAGGACCGATACTACCAGAGTGATGTACAGAACTAGTTAACTAATTCGGAAAAACCAAAACGGAATAAAAGCACTGGCCCTGCCTACAGGTGCAGCAGGAATGAAGGCAGCATGGCAACGATAATATCAGGAAACATCGCAATCAAACCACAGGAAGCATTAGGAAGACCGAACCATCTCACAATGACTATAATAAAAATAACAATGACAACAATGGTAATGCAATAGTAGTATTATACAATAATGGTAGCGAGAAGGAAAGTTGTGGCAGCAGGAGCGAGCTTGAAGGTTGCGGCAACCGTGCACACTGCAGAGTTGAACGCTAAACCAGCAGCCCAACATGGCCTAAACCCGTGTGTTGCATCCTGACCGTTCTCTCCAAAAACCGCACAGGCCTACGCAAGACCCAAGTCCTCCGGGAGGGTGTAGCTCGACGGATAAGTGCCTGAAAGGAGAGTTTCATTGGTAATTTTTAGCGGCGTTAGAAATCGTATAATAAAGTTATCCTGCTCATAATCCTACTTTCAACTACCCATGAACCTCCCAGCAGGGTTTAGGGCTTAGAGCTTAGGAGGCTCAAGGCTGGGGGAGAGCTCGGGCGGCTCTTGGAGCTTCGGAGGTTTCGGATTGAATGGGGGAGGTTTTGGGGTGGGGTTCACCAGATCTCCCCTCCCCCACACACTCCTTGGAGGTTCATGGTCAGCTATAAGTAGGGTTGTAGGTAGGATAACTATAGTTATAACTCAATCTAAAGTGCTAAGCCCGAATCTCTCGTAATGTTATGACTCATATTGAGGGACTTAGAACCCCACTTATAACTACCCACAAACCTCCTAGTAGATACTCTAAGCCATCGGAAAACCGACCCTGCTTCCTCAGGCTTAGCCAGATCGCGACCTGCAATCATCCCGACAAAACCTACCCTAAGGGTTTAGGGTTTAGGGGTTTAGGGGTTTAGGGTTTAGGGTTTACAAAACCTACCCTAAAGCACCCTTGTCCTTTTAGAAGTAATAGACAGAGCCCTATACCTATATCCCTTATTAGTAGGAATTATTTGAGAAGGTCTACTGGCCGGTCTGTTTATTCTTTTGGGGGAACCATGACAAAGGACAAGGCCGCCCTAAAGCCTTTTTGCTGCAGGCTTGCACGCAAGGACGTCTGGTAGTTTGCCGATGTTTCGCCAGTTAGGACTGTAACTCGTGATAGCGCTCCTGGCTTCTGATAACCCTGAGTCCATAACATGCAACATGAAAGGATCCCCCCCACCCCGTCTCTGGGTGCTGCTGCCAAAGAAGCTCAAGATGGGCCGCGCACTCTGCTTTCGACAGAGATCCAGCTGACTGAGGAGCTCCTTGCTGGCATTTCGGATTTATGAGGCTTTGGGTGGAGGATTTCGGGTTTATGAGATTTGAGCATTTCGGGCTTGTAAGGGTTTAGGGTGTGGGGTTTATAAGAGGTTGGAGTTTGGGATTTTTGGGGTGGAGCCTCGGTAACTCGAGTAGGTTTCGGGGTTTCATAAAGTACACATATACAGACTGTTTGGACAGTTTGTGAGCAATGTTTCAGACCGTCATTTAGGATTTGCTTTCTACTTGGAGGATCATGGGGCTTAGTAAGCAGGTTTATAAGTACCTTAATTGGGGTCATAAGTAGTTCTTAAAAACAAGAGATTGCCAACGAGGGTCTTGCCATCAGCAAGTCTTCTAGGTCCCCAGGTCCACCCCGGCCCCCCTGAACCCTAACCCCAACCACCCGAAACATCCGAAAGACCGCTTCGAAAGCGTCCCTGAGACAGCCAGGCTCCTCGTCCCAATTCGGGATCATGCCTGGGTGACCAAAGGAACGCAGGGAGAGGATGTGTGAAGTTGCGATGGATCTCTGGGAGAGCAAGATCTTGTTGTTTGGTGCCTGCAGTATGATTGAACATAGACGAAAGTTTTCCTGACAGCCTCTGGTTATACCCAAGCCTGACACCCGAGAACCTGCAGCCTTAAACTTGAAGGCCTTTGGCGTTCGTTTCTCCAGGTGCAGCAGAAAGTGATGGACGTGGATCGCTTCTTAGATGTCTTAAGGTTTCCGGTTGCCACCGCATGGACTTTGGATATCAGCTAAGGTTTAGGGAACAAGGTTCCAAACCGGCTCAGGGATTCATAATGATTTACGGCCGTGGAAGTTTAGTCCACGGCTTCGGTTTGCCGGCTGGGATTTGGAATTCATGCGTAGAGTGCCCCCTGACTGCTGTGGATCATCCGTGGCACAAGCGAGTGATTGCACTCGGCCGGGGCGCGATAGTGGCTGTCCAGCTGGAAGTAGTACTCTTCGTCCTGGTGGGAGGGTGAAGGTCTAAAGCCTGGGGATCATAAAACTATTAATTACAAGTATTACTAATATTATAATTCGTGGTTGTTGTGTAGTAGTACTAGCAGTAGCAGCAGCAGCAGCAGCAGCAGCAGCAGCAGCAGCAGCAGCAGCAGCAGCAGCAGCAGCAGCAGCAGCAGCAGTAGTAGTAGTAGTAGTAGTAGTAGTAGTAGTAGTAGTAGTAGTAGTAGTCATCGTCGTCGTCGTCGTCGTACTCGTAGTCGTAGTCGTAGTCGTAGTCGTAGTCGTAGTCGTAGTAGTAGTTTTGGCTCCCACATATCAGCGCCCGCCCGTAGTAGTAGTAGTAGTAGTAGTAGTAGTAGCAGTAGTAGTAGTAGTAGTAGTAGTAGTAGTAGTAGTAGTAGTAGTAGTAGTAGTAGTAGTAGTAGTAATAGTAGCAGCAGTAGTAGTAGTAGCAGTAGCAGTAGCAGTAGTAGTAGTAGTAGTAGTAGCAGCAGTAGTAGCAGTAGTAGTAGCAGTAGTAGCAGCAGCAGCAGCAGCAGTAGTAGTAGTAGTAGTAGTAGTAGTAGTAGTAGTAGTTGTTGTTGTTGATAGACAAGAAGGTATTGTAAGCCTGAGGCTAGCACCCTCGATACAAACTGCAATGGCAAACAACAGAGAAGTGTGAATAGAAGAGCATGGGAAACAAAACCCGTAGCAGTAACAAAGTAGGTGAACTAGGAGTAGCGGCTAGGCTCGTAATCCTAGCGGCTGCAATCAATCAAAAGTATTGGATGACTTGCTGCTGCCAGGGCTGCTGCTGCTTCTGTGGCCGCAGTGCAAACACCATAAGACAAAGGAACACTGGCGATAAGATTGAGCGGATTGCGTACTGATTGGCTTCTGGATTTGTGTCTATGATGTTCTCCATCCGGCAGCGCTACAAGTAGCAACCCACCGATGTCTTGATGGCCGGGCTAAAACCTTGGATTCCAGATGGGGCTGTGGCTTTCTGGCTTCGGGGTGTTGGGCTCGTTCTTCTGTACGGTAGGGGAGATAGAACGGGGAATGCACTCCCATGTGAAAGTGGAAGAGCGCCCAGACTTTTAAAGACCCCCGTCGCAGTCGGCTCCCCAATATAGCGGCCTCAATAATAAGAATGGGGTTTGCGAGTATATCATACTTTAACTACAAGAAGGAACTCCAAAACAGTATAGGCAATTATTAAGGCCCCTCAATTACATTGACATAAGCCTCGAATCCTCGCATCCCTACATCCCGGGACTCGCTTCGGAACCTCTTTCTTCAGGAGGCCTAGCTTCCCACGACATCCCCCGAGAACATGTAGGGCGGAAATGGGACCTTTAAAGGAACCCTGAAAAACAACCCTTAAGGGCACCCTATTCTATCCCTTAAAGGAAGCCCTGAAAGGAGCCCTGAAAAGGAATCGAAGCGCCTGGTAGAGTTCTTGCTGGATGCGCGCCCGGGCGTAGCAGGGACCGCGTGCATCCTCGGCGTGTCAAGAGACGGGCTTCGGATTTAGGAAGTTCCTCAAACTACTATTTGCTTAAGAGCCCCCAAAAAATAAAAAATATATTCCTTATGGGGGGTAATATAGGGATTATTATTTTATTTTTTGGGGGTTTCTTAAGCAAATAGTAGCAAAAGATCGTAGACTTTGATTGACTTGTCTTATCTGCTTGGGGTTTAAAGTTCGGGCGTGGCCAGCCACTCCAGTGTTCGCAATCTGGGACTTGGAAGCCTTCGACAACAACAGATAACAGTAAAACCAAAAAACTGCAACCCCTTGTGTCGCTATGAACCCCGAGCTCCATCTGGTCGTAAAGTCATAAACTCCAAACACGCTCGTTTACCTCAAAGCCTAGAAACTCTAACCCCCCTCTCTCTCTCTCGCTCTTGTGTGTTTTCTCTTTCTCTCTCTGTCCTACACCCGAAACGCTTTTGAAACCGGGCTTGCTGGCTGCCCGAACACGACCGTGCGACCTGCTGCAAAGGAGGCTGAAATATGCAGTGGCCGACGGGCAGTATCCTTTGAAAAAAGACTCAGGAAAGGACGACCAACACCCTAAGCCCCCAAACCCTAATGCAACACCATTACTATCTTGATACCAAACTCGCGTGAGGCTTGGGAGTTGAGTAGGATTGCCCTAAACCCTTTTCGTGAGCACGGACTGAGATTGTACTTCTTCAGCACCTGAGGGCAGAGCCTTGCCGAGTCCAAGCTGTACCAGCGGTCCCGGGGGATGCTAGGGCACCCAACCCTAAACCTTAAGTCTAAACCCTTTTGTGACAGGCTTTCCACTTCGCCCCAAACTCTAAACCCCAAAGCCTCAACTCTAAACCCCTATCCCGGAAACCCAAAGCTCGAAACCTGGGCTTGCGCTCTCTCGCAACTCGGACAAGGGGGCGGGGGGTCGGCAGGGTCGCGACTATTTTTGAACGAGGTCTCTCTGAAGGGTGCTTGCCAAAAGCCAAAAACCGCAGGGCTTGAAAGTTCAAACTTTCAGAATAAGACTACCTCGTAAGAGCACAAAAGTTGTAAAAGTTGGGTTTTGGACCGATAGGGAAGTGCCTCCAGCAATATGATTTCATCGACTTCTAGGGACTCTAAACTCTAAACCCTGAACCATGGAGTGGATGCATCCAGCGTCTCGGTGATGCAGCGGAAGGACGCGCACGTTTGAGGCCAGATGGCCTTGTGGGTGGTATATGGTTTCTGGATTTAGGTTGTCTGGTTAAACCGTTTTTTCCCGTAGACCGTTCCATCTGGACTCCAACTTTAGAGCTTCAGGGTTTCAGCACTCACACTCGGACAATCTTAGGGCTTGATTTTTTGGATCTTTTAGGTTCGGGGCTTTAGGGTTCAGTGCTTTAGGGTTTGGGGTTTATAGAGACCGGGCCAGTGGAGTCTGCTGGAATGCTCGTGATGTTTGGTGAGCGTTTAGGTTAGGATCAGGGTGATAGCATTCTGCATCCATTCTTTGTCGTTCTGCCCCAAATTTTTAGCTCTAAATGCTAAGCCTTTTGGGAGTTGTGCAACGCTCGCTAAATCTCCTGCCGACTCAAGGCATACAGTATATTGCGTTTAGAGCCATAGCCATGCAGCAGACTATCATTTTGGTGATTTGAAGAGGGCTGTGGGTATGGTTTCAACGGACCCAAGCATGGCACAACCTTATGCATGTGTTTCTCTGTCAGTGCGCACTCGCACTGCTGCTTTGCAAGATTTCCTGTATATAATGGTCGAGGGTTCCGCAGAGTCGCAGAACGTGCGGTTGAAGCATCCTATGGCTTTACGGGCGACAAGGATCATCACCGCGCTTGGAAGCCTCTTACACTGAAGGTTTATGGTTGATGAGGCCCTGGTTTCGGGTGTTTGGGCGTGTTTGGGGACTTGGGGGTTGTGGGTGTGTCTTTCTGGGTTCGGATTTGGGGGTTCTAGCGGGGTGACCCGAAAACACCACATGTAAAGAAACTGTCGCAGAAAAAGCCACTACGGCCTGCAAAAACAAAGCTGTGAAACCAACAGGCGCGTAAAAACTCGAAATACACAACCTTGGTCTCTTCTAACAGCACATTCAGTTCAAACCCCACCCAAAACTAAACCCCAAACTCTACTAAACCCTAACACTACACACTTCCTTTCGATGAAGAGTTCCTGAGCGTCGAACTGGGAGGCTCAAGGAGGAAGCACGCCGCATCCTCCTCTGGGTCCGCCTTGCCGCTCAGCGCTTTACTTCGGGGTTTTGAAAAAGTTTGGGGTTTAGGATTTATGGGTTTAGGGTTTCGAGTGTAAGGTTTAGGATTTAGGGGTTTAGGGGTTTAAGGGTTCAGGGTCTAGAGGTGTAGCGGTTTAGGGCAACGGCTTAGGGGCTTCATCAATCGGATAAGGCGTTTGGAATATATTAAACTGTGAAGAGACTTAGGAGGTGCGTCGCCTTGCTTAGGCCGTTAGCGTCAAGGCTTTCGGGTTTAGCGTTTTGCTTAATTAAGGCTTTGCGGGTTTAGGCTTTCGGGCTTTGCGTTTAGGCTTCTGGGCTTTTCGTTGGGCTTTAGAGCTTTTTGGTTTAGAGCGCAGGGGGTTTTCCGGTTTTGGGCTTTTCGGTGTTTGGGTTGATGGATTTTGGGCTGAAGCTTTTGGGGCGGGGGCTACACAAGAGCCACGCCGGAGGAAAAAACCTACACCCTAAACCCTCTCATCATGGATCCAGCTCTATTTCTTCTTCAAAACCACTCCCAAAACTCAGAAACCGTAGCAACAAGTACTTTCCAGTGAGTGAGTGAGTGAGTGAGTGAGTGTCGACCGGCACTTACGGTGCGGCCTACCTCCCACGTCCCTCTCAACATCTCGGGGGGGCTCCGCAAGCGTCATCGCCTCCCTCCGTCCCAGAGTTCAAGTGGGGGAGAAACTAGCTAGTGCAGACAGGTCACGGTGTAGAATACTAAGATACATGTTTCAACCCAAGAATCGGAGAGGCATAGTCCTTGATCAGGGATAAAGCAGGCAGGAGGCCAAGCCAGACGTCACCAACCGATAATACTTATGCTTGTATGCGCCAAAGAACACACCAAGTAACCGGCAGCAGACGCAAAGAGTTGCAAGGGGGCGAACCGTGCGGCCAGTGCCGAGGGAGCGAGGCTCCATGCACAGAGGGCACACACAAGGCGACCCAAAGGCGTGCGCCATGTGCAGAGGGAACACTGTTCCAGCACCGAGGGCGAGCACGCCAACAATCAGGTACAGTAAATGAACATGCACACCACCGCGGCAATGAACAGCACAGAGGCGCAGCCCTGGAACAAGGCCGATAACAAAGGTAGCAATCCAGGGAGCTGCTAATGCATATGATGAGCGTGGAATACCTCACATATACACTGGATGTCCTCAGGCCCATGATGGGTGGAGACGTCGGCATCGTCGGATCAGTTGCAACAACAGTTGAGACAGAATACTAGAGGGCACTGTCGCCCTAGCACAAGGGAGGGGGGGAAAGGGGGTGCTCATCGGGCAAGAGCCCTTAGTGCCGCCGCCCGGGGTCCACACCTTTCCAAAAGAAACCCCCGCCCCAAAGAGAGTGCTAGGCCCGGGGGAACAAGTACTTTCCATGTTCAGGGATGAACGCTCCAAACCCCAGTATCCAAGCTGGCCCCGAATTTTTTTGAACCCTCAGCCCTCCCTACCGTCAAACCCCTGAAAACCTTAAAATCCAAAAGACACACCTTTTAACTTTGAGCCCGATTTCCTCAGACCCCGACTCCAAAACCCCCAGACCCTGCCCTTACATCTTGCATGTTTAGGCCCGAAACTCCCGAAACTCCCAAACTCCTTAGCCCAAAAACCCCAAACCGAAGTAGATATAAGTACCGTTACCTTAATTACGTATATATAGCCGTAGTTACTAAGTCCCATGATCCTTTAAGTTCCCAAACCCCCTGGTTTCAGAGGCCTGCCAGCAAACGCCGATGAACACCCGCTCGGGTTTCAACGCCTTGCCGCGGGGTGGCTTTCTCGCAGACCCGCTTCGGAAGCTGGGTCTGGAAGGGACTGAGGTTCTACCCAGAGACTCCATTATCTCTTAGTGAAGGAATATACCTTAGATCATATTAGGGATCCTACTATAATCTAAGGTATATTCCTTAATTAAGGGCTATTGGAGTCCCTGGGTACTGTCCAGTAGGCAAAGATGTTAACCTATGGGGGCATATTGGGGTTGTAAGGGGATTCCGGTACCATTCCCTACTAAGCACCAAGGAGTACTCCCTACTAAGCACCAGGGAGTAAAGCCAGATCGTGGATTGCCTTCTCTCTTTCTTCACCCCATCCCACACCACTTCAGGTGGTGCAAGCCACCCGGATGATATGAGACTTTCCGAAACTTAGGGATGCCTTATTTCGGGGTCCGAATCCTACGATTCAAGGCACTATGCTAGGGTCCCCTATGTTCGGAAATCCCCATACGTCTGTATAAACGCTCCATGCCCTGGCTGCCCTAGCGCAACGACACGGGTTGAATGAGCGGGAGACTCCAAGATCCCATAGTTAAGGAATATACTTTAAATTACAGTAGGACCCCAACCATCCCTTAGTTAAGGAATATACTTTAAATTACAGTAGGACCCCAACCATCCCTTAGTTAAGGAATATACCTTAAATTACAGTAGGACCCTAACCATCCCTTAGTTAAGGAATATACCTTAAATTGCCGGATAATTCGTAACCTGATTTAAGGAATATTCCTTAATTGAGGGATATTGGAGTCTCTGGGGGGCTGAGCTTGGCACTCGGGTGCTAAACTCCCCAACGCTCCCAGCTTCAAGGCGATGCCAAGAGATTCAGGAATCTACCTCAAACTTAGGAATATATAGGACCTAGGGTTCCTTCAAGGGATCTAGGCTTTAGGGTTTAGGGTTAAGGAATTGACCTATATTCCTTAACTCTCTGGGTGAATGTCGGGCCTTGGGATCACTTGGAAGTTCAGGGCTAGTTATAAGTAGGCTTGTAACACCACTTATAACTACCCCGAAACCTGCAAGGGTGTATGGCTTAGGACGATTTGGGATGTTTAATGGTTTAGGGTCTCGGCGGGGCTTCAGGCATGCAAGGCCTAGGAATCAGGGCGCCAAGTGGACTTGGGGTGAGGCCCAGAACGAAGAAAGAGGCAGCTCTGGACCTCAGTCGCAACCTCTCAACCCCACATTGAGACCCGCTAAGAAACCCCCAAACTTCAATACCCGATACCCTCAACCGTAAATCCTGAACGCAACACCCTAAGCATGAATCCTAAGCTGCAAGCTTTACAACCTCCCAACTTCCGAAACCCCTCCCTTGCCCAGATAAACCGGATGGGGCCTTGCTGAAAAGGTCCCGGATGGTGTACCTGACATCCAAAACCATAGACCCCAAACTCTCAATCCCAAAAGCCTAAACCCTCTCTCTCTCTCACAGGCACTCGAAGCGTCAGGCCTGGTCGAAGGGCAACATCTGTGCCACTCGTAAAACTACAGATAGGATAACTCTTGAAACTGAAATTAATTAACCTGGCAGATCAGTCGGTGGTCTTCCAAGGTGGTTAAAAAGCCTAAACCCTAAACCCTAAAACCGAACTCCCAAACCCTAAACCTGAAATCCAACACCTGACTCCGTGAAGCCCAAGAGCCGGCAACTGCGGAGTTCGAAGTTTGCGGCTGGGAGTTTGGGAGCGCTCAAAACCGAAGCCCTCAAACCCAGATCCTAAACCCTCCCTCTCTCTCTCTCTCTCTCTCTCTCTCTCTCTCTCTCTCTCTCTCTCTCTCTCTCTCTCTCTCTCTCTCTCCCAGGCATTCGAAACGTCAAGCCCGGCCAAACCCTTTTTGCTGCAGGCTTGCTTGCAAGGACGCCGGCCAAACCCTAAACTCTGAGCCCCACATCCTAAACTCTTAAGTCTAAACTCTAGTGCCCCAGGTTTCAAGCTCAACGCAGGACACGGTCACACTTTTTTGTGTCAGAGCCCTCGTTTTAGGGCTGCGGGTTGAGGCTTCAGGGTTTCGGCGCTCACACTCGCAGAAGGCAAGCAAGGCTTGCCAGGCTTCAGAGTTTAGGGTTTAGGGTTTAGGGTTCAGGGTTTAGGGTTTAGGGTCTAGGCTTTTCGGCTCAGGGCTTCGGGGTTTTGGTTGGGACGTTACGCGCTCCCGACAACTGTGCGCATCTGCCTTGGAGATTCGGGGGTAGTTGTAAGTGGGGTTCTAAGGAGGGTAACCATAGTTATAGCCCATAATAGGAGACTTACGACCCCACTTATATCTACCCTAAACCCCAAGCCCCTATACTCGTATAGAATCCCTATAGATCCCTTTAAAGGACCCCTATCAACCCCACTTAGAACTACCCATGAACTACCAAGTGCGGATTCAGGCCCAACCTGCCATGCACGCATACTACAATACAATACAACACAATACAGTACAATATCGTATAATGTTATACGTATAGTATAACATGTATAACAGAATAGAATGGACAGAACAGCACAGAACAGAATAGCATATAATGGAATATAATAGAATGGAGCTAGAAGATAATTTAATACAGATACAATATTACAACATGTTGTATGATTTATAATACAAAAGAATAGAACAGGACTGAATGTAATGTGGTAGATACGTACGACCATATCATGTAATATTTGGAATTTTTGGGCCTCTAGAGCACCATTGCAGCTGGGCGGCTGGCACTCCGGATCCCGGTAAGAAGGGATGGACACGAAGATGGAGGGATCAGCGGAGCCCATGGCTCACGCCGCAGAAATGCTTGCACTATCACAGGCTAGTCTCACAATTGGGGTCAGGGAGTCCGAGGTCATGCTCCAGTGATAACTGTGTCAAATATTGCTCCGCGAAATCGGCGTTTCTAGCCACCCTTATCGCAAGTTCTGGGATGGAAAGGCCAACATTAGGGTAGGGGTGTCTGCAGTCTAAGCCATGTCGTCTGGAGACTTCAAGGTCTGATTGGCTGCGAGGAAACCCATGTGACAGGCTCGTGAAGGTGCTCTTAAGGTTTAGGTTTTGAGGGTTTAGGGCCTAAGGTTTCGGGTTGCTCGCGCCCATCGCGCATGCAAAGGGCCGCAGGTTTAGGCCGTGACGGCCAACGGCTTGAAGGTTTGAAGTTTCTGCGGTGCCAGTCCCAAGACAGGCGTTGCAGGCGTAGGCCTCAGAACTTCTTCAGTTACAAGATGTTGCCGGGCGTTCAAAGCTGGCGGAAGACAGGCTGGTCAGGCGAGTCCAAAAACCTTCTTCTCCTCAAAAACCACCAAACCCGAACCCTGAATAGATGAACCATGAGCCCCGAAGGGTTGGAAGCAGAATCGCAACTCCCATGCTCTTAAGGCTCAGGGCTGAGATTGCTTAAACCCATCAGCATCTATCGGCTGCGCGCGGCTCAAAAAAAGCATGTCTAGGGCTATGTGAGATGATAGACTTTTGAGATGGCTTCCTGGTGTTTCCAAACTAAGGCTTTTCGGTGATATGGGTTGCAGAGGGCGGCGTCTTAGAAGCAGACCTGCCTTTTACACCCAACACCGGCTACAATCCCTGATGTTCACGGCCTAGGTGTTTTAGGGCTGAGTGTCTTGAGGTTTTCGACCTCCCTATATCAGGCCTTGCATGAAGAGAACGAACACGATCCCATCAAGCATCAAGCGAACGGGGATGGAGACCGGACCCTAGACACTTAGCCCAACGAATCCCGGAACCCCAATGCCAAAGCTTCTTATCCGAACGCCCTAATCAACGAGACTGAATATGGAACCCTTCCTTAACACAGCCATTTTGGTCAGCTTTCACCATTCTCTATCCGACGTCTGCAGTTGCTGTCGCAGCTGGGGCTGGGGGCGGCGACTCAACCTGTCTTCACGGGTCAGGAACTCGCAAAACTACCAGCTCGACCTCCAACCCTCAACCCCCAAAGGGTTCTCCAACCCTAAACCCTTTTTGAGTCCAGGCCTATTGCGACCCTAAACCCTAAATCCTAAATCCTTTTGGTTTCAATCAAGCTTTGTGGGTTTTAGGGCTTCGGCGCACAGTTGGGGAAGGACTTCGTGGCCACCGGTTTCGATCAGGGGCCCTCCGGCTTCAGATGTCCTCTTAGGGTTTAGGGTTTTAGGGTTTAGGGTTTAGGGTTTACGATTTAGGGTATAGGGTTTAAGGTTTAGGATTTAGGGTTTAGGGTTTACGATTTAGGGTATCGGGTTTAGGGTTTAGGGTTTAGGGATTCAAGCTTCCGAGTACCCAAAACAAACCTTGCACTTCGGAGCCCCAAACGACGCATCGATTGGCTTTCCTGCCCGCCTAACGCAGGGGCCCAAATCATTACCAAACACTATCTTCCGGGTTCCTTGTTATAATTCTTGTATAACCCAGCCCCAAGCCCTATTCTAGTTATTACGGCTCTTATACTAAAGACTTTTGGGGGGGGGGGGGTGTCTTGGGCCTCCATCTCGAGCCCCACCCCCAAACCCTATTCTAGTTATGAAGGCCCTTATCCTAAAGACCTTTGGGGGCGGTGGGGGGTGGGGGGGGTGCTTGGGCTCCTCCATCTCGAGCATGAGATTCTTGATGGGGCCACGACCCTCCTGGTCGTCGCTGCGAGGGGCCAAGGGTTTCGTGATACATTATAGTATGTGTATGTGTGTGTATATGTGTGTATATACATATGTATATATATATATATATATATGGCAGGGCACGATCCTACCTTCTTTGTCGGGCGCAAGGAAACCGCCCCAAAATTTCAAGAACACCTCAACCAAACTCGGGCACAGAAGTATCTGTGAAAGCTGTAGTAAGGATCTGATGCCAAGCAATACACAGCCACAGAATGCTTTAGAAGGGGTCTTACGTCAAACTAGAGCAATACAGCAGCCGCAAGGGATAGGTGATACCGCTCTACCTAGCAAGGTGTTGCAAGCAGGGAATACGGGTTCCTTAAGCAGGAAATACAGCTCTGGACAAGTCGGGGGACGCAGCCCCCAGAAGTCCAGAAGAAGGGTCTTGTGCCAAGATGGGCCATTGCCTTCTTGTTGGGGCATGTTTGCCTTTCGCGCGTCTTTCGTGCAACTTCCGCTCACCCTCCTTTCGAATCACCTATACAATGCTCTGTGCTGTCGTAAGTCGTGAGAAATACACGAGAAGATGCTCAGCAGAGGCGGGATATTGTATCTTCATTTGGCACATGCTCCGCAGTCACTCTAGATTCGTTTTCACTTGCACCTACGCCTTATACACATGCTGCGTGCAACTAGCAAGCTGAAGCTTCCTTCACAGACTGCATGTGTATAAACAAACAAGATGTTATATTGACAACAAAACCAACCAAAACAACATCCAACACAACTTTTGAACTAGGCAGCTCCTTTTCGCAACTATTCCGCGCCGCCTTCGCGCACTTTCCGCACGCGAGGGTCTTGCATAATTCTAAATGGTCGAATAAAGGTTTGCATAAGCTTACAGACAATGCCCACACCCTAACGGACTCACAGCCTCAGAGCCTTCCCTAACACCTGCACTCGAGAGCCAGACCTCAAAAAGCCCCGAGACCCAGAACATGATCCTGAGCAAACTCTTGGTTTTGGTTGGAAACGGTAACAAAAACGGATTGAATTCTTGAGGAACACCAAGACCCAACCCGGAGGAAAATCTCAAAACCCTGGTTTTCGCCCACGTAAGTGTCCTGCTCCTCGAGCTGCATCTGTAGCTCCGACAAGAGGCAGACACCTAATAAAGGGGCCTTACATGCATGGATTTTCATAAGGCTCCTTGAGGGAATACTATAGGGGCTGCTGTAACGGTTCAAATCTAGGGGACCTTGACGAAAAGACTAGGATTCCTCCCAAGGTTTAAACAAGGGATCTAGAATGTGATGTGGGGATTCTGGATTGGAGGCCTTCTTCAAGCATTTTGGGGTTATGATTGTAGGGTTCATGAGCTTGAACAGGCTTTGTGATCGTTGTAGGGTTGAGGACTCAGAGGTGGGATAGTGGGCAGGGCTACTGAGAAGTAGGGCCTCAGGGTGGGATTGAGGATTTCGGCGGGCTACTTGACTTGCTTCAGTCTAACCCTATTGAGCATGAGCCCTCGGCCCCTAGACTTTGTTGTTGAATCCGTGCAGCCCTACACCTGGGTACGCACCCCCCCGACCAGGTTCAGGATTGAGGGTTCAAATTTTTTTCAACCGGCCAACCGACCCTTTTTCGTCTGAAGCGGTTTTTCCGATGGGCGTTTAGGGCTACTGCTCGCAGTTCGAATTTTTGTTTTCAGGATCCAAGCGGTGTTGTCCTATGGGTAGAGCAAGGGCGTGCTTCTAGGTTTTGGGGTTTCGAAGCTCGGGGCTTCAGGGTTTAGGGTTTAGGATTTAGGGCTTTAGGGGTTTAGGGTTTAGGGCATAAACCGTGCCTCCAGAGTAGTCTGCTTCCAGTAGGAGGTGTGTCCGCAGTGTATGCACCAATTCCTTGAAGGCTCAACAGCTAGGCTTTCGGGTTGACTGGACTTGCCGGACAGAAAGCCTGAATACTTGAGAGCCCTATGAAGTTAAGGGATCATAGGGACACCATCCCCTTGCAGTTCCCCCTGTATCAATGCTGTAAGATACCTCGAAACCCTATTCTGACTATAGGCGTGAAGTTGAGGAGGCGAGGCTTTTGAATGCCAGGGCGGGTGTGTCTGAACCTGCTCAAACCCTTCGCCCCACACCGCCTACTACTGCCAAGGACTGCAGAATCTAAGAGAGTTTGGCAGGTTATGTACTGTAATTTTCTGATAAACGAAAGAATACTAAAGAAGGCACCTTGACCCATCGGAAGTGTGACCATCCCCGAATGAGGTAGGGTCATGAGTGCAGAATTTCAGGTTTACGAAAGAAAGCTTTCACCTCCTTGAGCCACGAACACCTATGGGTCACAGTGTTCGTGAGATATGACCCCTGCCACAGCATGCTCCTGTTGTAGTAGAGCACAGCTACTTAACAGGCGAAGTCTCCACAATGCACGGAAGGCTGCACAAGCAGCTCTAGTGACAAAAACTTCTGCTGTACATCTCGCTCAAGGACAAAGCACCTTCCAAAAGTTAGCCTGTACACACCAGCATGAAGACCCTGATTAACAAAAACCGTAAGCGCTCTGCCGAACCCATAAGAACGCTAAACAAAAGCAGCTGTTGAACCTCGTTCTAAACCCTTGTGTTGCAACTGGGCTTGGGGACTCGCCGTTCCGTGCATCACGGCCTTCTAAACCCTAAACCCGCAACCCTACCCAAAGCTACGGTTGATGATATAAATCCTGCATTACCCATAATAAGGAATATACCATAATCCCCATAGTTTAGGGCCCTTAAGGTACTGCAGGATTTATATCATCAACCTTTAACCCTAAACCCCCTATAGATCCCTTAACGGGTACCCTTACCATCAACCGTACCACGCCTGGCCTGGCCGCCCTCGGAAGGCAGCGCAGCGAAGCTGAAGATGGCGGCGCCCTCGGCCGCGCGGAGGGCGAGGCCCGATCTGAAGGCAGGCGCCGAGGTTCGGGGTTTGGGCGCTTTAGAGTTTAGGGGGGTTTAAGGTTTAGGGTTTAAGGGGGGTTTGGGCTGTAAGGGTTTTCTTTTGCTCTTAGGGTTTAGGGTTTAGGAGTTTACGAGTTTAGGGGTTTAGGGTTTAGGAGGGGTTTGGGGCTTAGGGTTTAGGCTTGAGAGCTTTAGGGCCTTCGGGCTTTAGGGCTTTGGGGGTTGAAGAGTTTGGGCT